AACTGGTGTGTTCAAGTAAAGAAGATGAACGCGTTTTTTTAATCCAGATCAGTGAGCAAATGTGGGCAATAGATCTGTTCCTATTACTCTTCTGGAATATTCAACTTTCTGATACAGTTTGGGGTCCTGGTCATGTGTTCGTTCCAAGGACGGTGCATCCAAGTGACTGTGATCGACCATCCGCCTGCATGCCATAGCGGCAGTACATGGACTCAATGGTCACCTTTTTCGGAGGCGCAAGCGGATTCTGGAAGAATCATTTTGAACTATTCTGGTTGGTAGTTTTAACCATCTTGATTATCCCATATATTGTGATAAATCCATGATGATCCCATTTATAAATGGGTAAGCTAATGGTAAACTGGTTGGTGGTGCAATAACCATCTTGAAAAATATGAGTTCGTCAATGGGAAGGATTATCCCATATATGAAATGGAAAATAAAACATATTTGAAACCACCAACCAGTATTTGATAATCATTGGATAACCGCAAAGGATTTTGGAGAATCAGTAGTTGATATTCATTTTAATTGGATAATCATTTGATAATTGGATAATTGTCTGAAAATGGGGTGCACCCTCCATATGGCCAGGAATCATGATTGATGATCATCATTGGAAGGGGTGAACATCAGACGAACCCAAGTTTTGAAGTAAATTCTCGAAGCCGATGTCCATCAAATCTGAAGCCTTCATCTTTTCGATGATTTCCATCAGATTCCCCTCATCTCATGTACCCTCTGGTAATTTGTTACAGTTTGCTATTGAAAATGGCCATAGAAATAGTTGATTTACCCATTAATAGCATGGTGATTTTCCATAGTTATGTTAGTTTACCAAAGGGTAACCCTAGCGATTTTCCACAGCTTCCAAGGTCAGAGGGCCTGAAGAAAGGGACATCAACAATCCAAGGATCAAGTTAGTTTCCTTCAATGGGAGGGGGACATTTAGAGGTTTCATGAGGTTTCCATAGTCATGGGGGTACCCCAAGCTCGCTGGATGGTTTATTTCATGGAAAATCCCAATTGCTGGATGAGAACTGGAGTACCCCACTCAGGAAACCACCATTTAACCATTGCTTTCCTGCCTGGAACTCATCCAAATGTATCCAAACGATCGTCCTACAGGACCCTATATCCATCCCTCTCTTTTCACTCAAAATCAAATGAGCAGCATCAAAAGGCCACGTTGCGAACAGCTTCCACTGGTTTATTTATAGCTATTCCGGCTATTCCAATAGTGGATTGGTAGTTCGATCCCTTTTCGAGTAGAACCCCAATATCAACACTAAACCAATGGGCGTTTGAGACTGCGAAAAGAATCTAGACCAGGGTTGCTCCAAACACCCTTGGTACAAGGGTGGAAAATTGGCAATAAAGAGGCAAAATGATCAATTTGCACCCTTTCTGGCTATCATTTACCGATCATCGGTTGGTGTTGAAGCAACCCTGATGACGTCACAAAAATCACCAAAACATGGTTTGCTCCAACCAGAACGATGGGATTTTCCCAGATTTTCCCCATGTTTTCCCCCATTTTTTGGATCCCATCCTTTGTTTTCCCCCCGGCTCCGACCCCCCCCACCTGCTCCCCGGGAGGTGGCGGTGGCCCAGTGGATTGACCCGTGAGGGTTTCCATGTTGCCCTGGATCTCGTCCTGAAAAAACATCGCATGGAATGTTCAATGGGAATTTCAGGATCCTAAATTGGAGGTACCTACCATATATTTTTGGCCTATTGTTGAGGCCTATGTAAGGGGATATCCCACCAAAATATTGCCTTATATGGTACAGTACCTCCATTTTAGGATCCTGGAATTCCCATTGAAATGTATGGGATCTATGGTGTCACCTGGGGTGAAGATTCTGGGTCTTTCCCACCAAGGAAAACTGGGGTTTATAGCTAGAGAAGTCATCCAAGTACATGGGATCACTGGCCATGACTCAGGAACCGAGAAAAATTGGAGGTACCGATTCCATATATTTTTGGCCTATTTTTCAGGGCTATGTAAGGGAATATCACCCCACAAAATATGGCCGTATATGGACAGGGTGTCACCTGGGATGAAATTTGACATATTAATGAGATGATGAGATAATGACAATCTCTAACCATCAACAACAGCTGGTTGGTATGGTTATATCTAAAAAACATAAGATGATATGGTATGGGTCTTTCCTGAGTCATGGGGGCACCCAAAAAAAAGCATCCATTGATCAGATTTTCATAGATTTTTCATCCGTTGAGATGTCATCCATTGATCAATGGTATGTACCCTCCAGTAAATCAACAGTTTGACCCTGAAAATCACCAATTTTTAATGGAAACGAGTCTTCCAACACCGACAACTGCCAGGGTCAAACTGTTAATTTACCAGAGGGTACATACCATTGATCAATGGATGAAATCTCAAAGGTTTACAATATGGAAAATCTGATAAATGGATATAAATGGATGATTTAGACCCATCTTTCCTGAAAATCTAAATCATCCATTGATCAGATTTTCCATATTGTAAACCGACTGGTTGGTGGTTAAGCCACCCCTCTGAAAAATGATGGACTTAAAGTCAGTTGGGATGATGAAATTCCCAACTGAATGGAAAAAAAAATATGTTCCAAACCACCAATCAGGAAATATATGAGATGATGAAACCCAAGATAGTGGATGAAATTGGATGAGAATGGATGATTATTGATGTTTTTGGAGAATGTACTCAGAATATCATGAATCATGGCCGGTTAATGGCATTTAATGGTGGTATAAGAGGGATATGCTGGGATATTAATGGAAAAACAATGGAAGATTTAGGAGATATGAATGATTCTTAATGTGTGAAACCACTTAGATAGTCACCAGTTCATCTATCTTGGGGGACAAGAAACGGCCTTGGAAACTAGACCATCCTTACAATAAACAGCTACTATTTGGGGGTGATGTGAATCCCACCCATCAAAAGAGTGATTTTGGGGATTATTTACTGTCGGGTTGGCTTTACCACAGTAATCCCCTACAGTAAATAGTAAATAGTAATGTTTTACCTTTTGATGGTGATTTTCTTGGAGGGTTGCTACTATTGTCGGGTAATCAAGCATAGCAATGGAAAATCCACAGTTTATAGAGATGCTTTTCCTACTAAAACCTTATAGATCCTTATAGGGGATTTCCAATTGCCATGTTTGATGGGCAATGGTTTTTGTTGATCAGAAACCAGCCAAGTGGGAAACATCTCTAACCCAACCCCTTGGACTGTTTGAATAGGTGGAAACCAGCCACATGCAGAGAAATTCAGCCTAGCATCAACCCTTCTTGGCAGCTTATCCAACCGTGACATGGGTTTCACCTGGAAAATCATATATTTCAACATCTCTCAACATCTCTCAACCCTCCAAAAAACCACCCCAGATGTCCCCATCCTCCAAGCAATAGATGGCTGGCTCCGACAGCATGAAACTCTGCAAGGCCAAGGATTCTCCGCTGGGCGTGTAGGAATACTCCCAGCGGCTGTTCAGCAGCACCAGCATGGTATGAGGCTCCGCCACCAGCTCCTGGGAATCAATGGATTTTGAGGGAAAATTGAAACCGGAAACCTCCATGATTTTCATGGGAAAATCGATGGTTTCCGGTTAAGATTTTCCCCAACAAACCAATCCATTGAACAAAAAAATCATCCACTGAACATGGACAAATTCGGACAGACTGAAAGAAGTCTGAAATGGATACAAAAAGTTGACACTGATTTTCATGACTACTATGATTCTCCACTTGAAATCAGAAGTCTCTCCACTATCAAGTCTTGAAAGAAAACACACTTCGAATCATACACGAAATACTGTGATGGGGGGGATCCGGACAAAAATGAGTCCTGATTTATCCCGATGTTTTTGATGGTGAATCATGATGAATCATGCCCAAAAATTCTTACAACATAGCCTAACCAAAAGTGGTTACACCAAACCTCCCATAGCCGTCATAGCCCGACATACTGTCCCAGTAGGCCAAACAATGGATCTATATATTATGCCATTCTGGCCAAACACATGGTATATGGATTCGGGTCATCCCACTATGATTTAAAATATAGACCCTCTTGTAATTCCTTTTGAACATGATGGTATCACAATAAACCCCAATATGGCTACGGCTAGATTGCTAGATCATCCAATTTCTGATTGTAGTTGAGCTTATATACCGCCGTTGGATCTCCATTCATATCGATTAAAATAGCAATCAACTCTCACCATGTTTGATGGTTATATCCCATGATGACCTTATAAAATCCTATGAAACCCAATGATACCCTCATTAAATCACCATATTTCATGCTTACCTCTGGTAATTTAACATAGCTATTGAACATGGCCATTTAGTTCTTTCATTTACCTATTTAACACCGGTGATGTTCATTGATTTTCCTTAGCTATACCAACTAACTTTACCACTTCCAGTCCCAGAGGCTATCTCTTCATCGCCTTCCTTCATGGGAAGCAGCTTCAAGACGCCAGCCTTGGAAGATGGGTGGTTTTAAAGGCTCAAACTGTTTGTTGAGGATTTACCCTCTGGTTATTTAACATAGCCATGGAAAATGGCCCATTTATAGATGGTTTACCTATTAGAAATGGTGATTTTCCATGGCTATGTTAAATAACCAGATGGTAAGTTATTCTAACCAACAGGTAGTACTGTGATATGAAAATACTTACCAAATAATCGGCAAAAAATCATCGGCAATCAGACAATCAGCTTTTGTGGTGCATTTGCTTGGTACATTTAAGTATCATTTGTCGCCAAATTAGGAGTAAATGATAGTAAATGATCGTAAATGAGTGAAGCATGGTATACATCAAAGTATCTACTCTACCCATTTCGATCATTTCGATCAATCTGAAACCCAGATCGAATGGATCGTCAGCGCAACGAAGTTTCGGAAATGTCCAATGAACGCATCGAAGAAACATGTAATCAGTAAACATCCAAAAGCAGAAAGTTTAGGGGGGTACCCTCTGGTAAACTAACATAAGTATGGAAAATCACCACGTTTAATGGCTAAATCAACTATTTCTATGGCTATGTTCAATGGCAAACTGTTAGTTTACCAGAGGGTAGCCAAAAGTCTTCATACCTCACCGAATCTGACAGGACCAGCACATATCTTCAACTCGATGCGAGGGTCGCGGAAATTTAAACCCTTTTCTCGACCAGACGAGTCTCAGAAATGTCAGGAAACCACCAGAGTTTCCAATTTTTGGAATAGTTACCGTCTGGTAATTTGTTACATAGCTATTGAAATGGCCCATTTAAAGTTGATTTTCCTATTAAAGATGGTGATTTTAACCATAGTTTTTGGTATGTTTACCAGAGGGTATCTTGAGGAAACCACACCCCAAACTTGATAAACGACAGGGTATTCCATGAAGAATTTTTATCAAGGACTCCCTACAGGCGGTATTGCAAACGACAAGGCAATGTTAATCCTTTCCCCTATGAAATACCCGCAGAAAACTTGGATCTCCATATCACATTGGTGTTTCATGGAGGTTTTCCAAAATGGAGAGTACCCCAAATCCAAGTCATGAATAGCCAAAGTGTTTAGTCTTGGACCAACATGAATACGGTTAGACTTGGGGACCCATGACCAACAAGAAATCCCATGAAATCCCCATTTCAGGATCACCAAATGTTCAAGATCCCGGTGTTTTTCGTGATGTTGGTGCTAAAAAACCATGGGTAACGTCTCATGTTTGATGCTTATACCATGGTATAACCCATGGTTACACCCCAGTTTTTCCCATGGTTATATCAATGGGAATTCCAGGATCCTAAAATGGAGGTACTGTACCATATTTTAGGCCATATTTTGTGGGGATATTCCCTTACATAGGCCTCAACAATAGGCCAAAAATATATGGAAACGGTACCTCCAATTTTTCTCGGTTCCTGTTGCATGGCCAGTGATCCCATGTACTTAAGGATGACTTCTCTAGCTATAAACCATGGTTATACAGTTATACCATGGTTACACCCCAGTTTTCCCATGGTTCTACCGGTGGTTAAACGGTTAACCCCCCCAGGAGGAACGACAGGAACGATTTCATCCCAAGCGTCTGCCGGGCCGACGAACTGCAGCACCGTCAAGCGACGGCGATACATCCTTGGAAGGCCAATGGGCCGCTGGGATTTTCCCAACGCCACGGTTTGGATGGATTTAATGGGAAAACCATAGGAAAACCATAGGAAAACCATAGGAAAACCATAGGAAAATGGATGTATACCCTCTGGTTATGACTAACATAGCGAACTGGAAAATCCCAAGCATAAATGGAGGTTGATGTCGCTGGGAAAATCATCTATTTCATTCTATTTCTATGGGCCATGGCTTCCATGGCTATGTAACAAATAACCAGAGGGTAAATGAAGTAAAGGTTTCAAGATGTGGGAAGATCCTAGGAACTATTGCTGAAATTTCTAGCCATGCTTGATGAGCAGAGGGTATAGTTGAGGAATCTTCATAAATATCATAGATTGGTAAAATGGGGTTCCAGTTGAAAATGCCAAAACATACGAGAAGAAACATCATTAGATCAAGGTGATTCAATATGTATGGCCAGAGCAAAGTCACCCTCTGTTTTCAAAAAAACATGAACCAATTTAGCGGATTGGCCCGTACCCCTTTTTCAACTTATACCATTCTTTACTGGTCAAAAATTAAGTTATAATGAGTCATACCAATCTTTACTGCTAAAATATTAAAATATGCTACATAAAATTCTACATTTTTGGGTTTCATGAAGGCCACCTCGTGTTTTTCAAACTCCCAAAGAATCCGGCCCCACCACCATCATCCATCATCTGCCATCATCCCAGCCACAGATGCAGAAAGCCCTCGGCATCGCCATCGTCGATGTCTGCAGGCGTGTACTTGTCCTCCTCATGGTCTGCCAGTGGCATGCGAAGCAGCATCTCCTGGGCTCTGGATGTTTCCAAAGTCATGGGGGTACAGAGCCGGATGGTTTACATCCGAGAATCACAATGGAGAACTGGGGTACCCCGATTTGAAGAACCCCCCATTTAGCCATGTTGAAAAATCGGAACCAACAACCACTGGGAAGTTCAACAAGAACTGACTAAATTTGGGACTTAACTTGGTGGGTTCACCATGGTATACCAACAGGCACAACAGACTTTAACCAGCTATGCACAGTTTCAGATAAATCTTAACTAAATTACTGTTGCCAAATTCAAAACAACTTGGATTTCATTGCTACATTTTTTGGTGGAAGTAGATTATGTAAATATCAATAAATCTTTGGGGACTGGGACTCCCCAGGTTGGGAGTTCGAGATTTCCTGCCATCATCCTATCAACCGGGAAGTTACAATGAATTGCCTTGAGAATTTCACTCCTCGGGCAAGCTGTTTCGCAAAGGGAAAAAAAATGTAACAACAAAGCTTGTACTGGAACTCAATGAATAATGCAAAACCATCAACCCTTCATCAACATGCTCATGACATAATCCACCACACCCCAGGAATACATGTGATAAAGTTTCATTTTTCGAATGGCATCAGCCCATACATCCACAACACCATGATTATGATTGAAAGGGTCATCAGCTGGCTATATATTCCACTGCATCCACATTGATATTCCCTCATGTGGGGATAATAATCCCCGTAAAATGCTTGTCAAACCATTCTAGATACCATAGAGACCATCTATTCATCAACAATTAATCACTATATGTGGACATGACAATTCACCACATTAGAAACCATCTATTTATCACCCCCATTCTTGTCGACAAACAAAAAATCGGTCACCCAGGGGCTGTGCGGCTGTAGACCTCGAAGCCCAGGTGTTCTTCGGAGTGTTTGGACAACATGCTACACCTGGGCAGCAGGTGGGGCTATGCTACCCCCATAGGTATACTTGGGACTGCAGGCCGGGGGTTGTTGATGGATGTAAGTATGGGATTCTAACCTCCAAAAGTTGGGATATACAACCTCTACAACTAGTGTAAGCCGCTTACTACTGGAACTGCACCCCAAACGTATAGTTGTAGACTGAACAAGTAAATGATCTACACACTGCTGAATCTGCTGAACAAGGTGTAGCACTTGTTGGTGCTTTAACCACACCAAAAACTAGCTGCTAGTCATTGAAAAATCATCCCAGGTCTATGGTTGAATCAAATGAAAGCACCAATCAGAACCTTTCATACAAGGTGAGGACTCCAAAAAGTGATTGCTAAGTGGACTTATAACTTGGTTAACTATGCTTTATGGGGAATATATAACTAAGTAGTATTCATAGTTTTATAAGCCAACAAACATAACTAGGGGCACCTCACCTTGTACCGTATCTGGTGACCTGCACTTGCTGGACGGTTTCCTGATCAAATCCACCAACCCCTCTTAACAATAAATCGAACGGGTATTCACTTCACGGTCCTTGCGGGAACGAAAAAAAAACGGCATTTGCTGTATAATATACAAAATATGTATGTACATGCCGTATAATAAAATGATTTAAAAAAAAAAGATACTCTTCTAGGATTTTTTTATGACAAAAAATGACACTTTTCTAGGGAATTAACATTTGTTTTAAAAATGATACTTTTGGTGCCCAAACAGTATCATTTGTTCATCTTGTTTTATTAATTTCTAAATGAAAATTTGTTTCTAAGTGTTAATTAAATTACTTTACTTCGTGTGATCCCCACCATGACATTTATACATTTTCTTACTGGCAAATCTTCTGGCATTCTATCTGACATATCTTCTGACATTCTATTTGGCATTCTATCTGGCATATCTTCTGGCATATGATCTGGCATATCTTCTGGCATATCTTCTGGCATTCTATCTGGCAAATCTTCTGGCATTCTATCTGGCATATCTTCTGGCACTCTATCTGACATATCTTCTGGCATTCTATCTCTGGCATATCTTCTGGCATATATTCTGACATATCTTCTGGCATTCTATCTGACATATCTTCTGGCATATATTCTGACATATCTTCTGGCATATCTTCTGGCATATCTTCTCTGACATATGGCATTCTATCTGGCATATCTTCTGGCTATATTCTGGCATTCTATCAAATCTTCTGGCATTCTATCTTCTTGGCATATGGCATATTATCTGGCTATCTGGCATATCTTCTGGCTCTCTGATGTGGCATAACACTGGCGTGGATACTCGCGGTTGAGGTCCGGCAGGGAACACTGGGCGTGGATGGTCGTGGTTGAGGTCCGGCAGGGAACACTGGGCGTGGATGGTCGTGGTTGAGGTCCGGCAGGGAACACTGGGCGAGGATGGTCGTGGTTGAGGTCCGGCAGGGAACATTGGCGTGGATGGTCGTGGTTGAGGTCCGGCAGGGAACAGGGATGGTCGTGGTTGACACTGGGCGTGGATGGTCGTGGTTGAGGTCCGGCAGAGAACACTGTGGATCGCGGGTCGCAGTTGAGGACGACGAGGACGACGAGGACGACGAGGACGACGAGGAGGACGAGGAGGAGGAGGACGAGGCAGGAGGAGGAGGAGGAGGAGGAGAAGGAGGAGGAGAAGGAGGAGGAGGAGGAGGCAACTGACATAAAATCTAACAACCCTCACCTGGCAGGTGGGGAAAAAACATATGTTAAAATTAGGGTAGTTTCTAAGTGTTAGTGAAAAGAATGATAATTTGTTTCTAAGTGTTGACTTGCTTGGTTTCCAAGTGTACACTGAGAAACGGGTAGGTACCATTTTGCCGCTATTTTTTCCAAACTTGTTTCTAACTGGAAGAGATATATATATATATATATATGGGATGTGTTGAAAGGGCTTCTCCACTTTTCCACCAACCCCAAAAAAACAGAAAGGAAACCCCACGGTGGCGCCCTTGGCCAAGGGTCATCTGCCCAAAGTTGTTGTCCATAGTCTTCAACGGCGACTGCTTGATGTAGTCGTAGGTGTCCGGCGCATCTAGACCTGTGTATGGATTCATGTTTTCCAGGTACGAGTAGAGATGCTCATTTTACATCAACTTAATGTGGCAAACCCAATGTCATACACCTACCATTTGCGGATGATATGATATGATCCATTTGAAATATGGGGGGTGTGATTCATGACTTTATGGGTGGAATACTATCCATCCTATCCCATCCCATTCAATCCAATCATTTATATACCTTTTCGCCAATCAGTAGCTATTGAAATGCATCTCTTCGTAAGCAAATAACTCACCCAACACTTCCTGAGCCATCATATCATCGAAGTCGGAAAACCACATCCACATATTTGATGGTATTGTTTCCCAACATTTGGGTATTATATGAAAAAAAACTAATTATATGGTATTACATAATTTTAATGAAATGTTCCCAATATTTGGGTGCTATATATGGTATCATATGATTCTATAACATTCTATAACATATTATTTGACGTGCATTTTTCCCCAATATTTGGGTATTGTATGGTACATATATATATGATTATCATATTATAACATATTATTTGGTGGTAAATTGTCCCACTATTTGGATATTATATTGTAAAAAAAAAAATATATATCATATGATTCTATAACATTCTATAACATATTATATATATGGTATTATATGGTACATAACATATTATTTGGGTATTATATGGTACATATATTATATATATAATATGAAATTCATCATCCAAACCATTGAGGCATCACCATGAAGCCATCGGCTCAGGTACCGATATGGAGCGTCTTGGCATTGCCATCGTCTCCCAGATAGCCTCGCTCGAACTCCACGGCCAATCGGCTGAATTGCCTTGGACCCGGGTGGATGTTGTCCTTTAAGTAGAAACAAAGGGGGTCGGGTTGGTATACTAATCTATATATATATAATTAGTATTATATATAATTATACATATAATCATATCTATATATAATTATATATATATATGTTTTATAATTAGTCTATATATATATATAGACATTCGTATGATCATTTGCCTATGGTATACCATGAAGGATATCCATTTATGATCAATCCATAGGGGAGTTCCATGTTTTTTCATCCAATGGGAACCATTGGGACATTCCTGGGACCATGGGAGACCATTTTCGATGCTTTTTTTCACCATTTTTCATCACCATTTTTTGAGTTTCCAAGTGCCAAAAAGGTGACACAAAAAATGTGGCTTTGTCTGAAAATAGTATGCCCTTAAATCCATTTTCATCAAATTCCCATTAAAATTGCTGGGGGGGTATAGACCATTTTCAGACAGACATTATCCCATATTTCCTGGTCGTGGCCGTGGCCAAGCGGCTGCTCCTCATCCAGCCGTTTGGCCACGTCCAACATCTGCGCCGCGTCTTCTTCCGCCACGATGAGTTTGATCAGCGCGTAGCCCTTCAGCGCCAGGGAGCTGGTAATCTCTGCCCCAGAGAGCCTGGCTGAGCTGAAAACCATGGCGGCAAAACAAGGGAAACATCAAAAAATCGTGATTGAATGGAGATTTTCTAGGATGATTTTATGGGGATGGAAATATGATGAACGTCATTAAATTCAGAACATCATTTCAAACGTGGTGGAGATGGTCTTAGGACGTCTTGGGTTGATTTGCACAAAAAAATACTGGAGTTGCTTTGTTTTTTCACGTGAAGAAAATCAACTGTCGGAGTCCCATGGGTTTGATCTTTGATGAAACAAGTGGGAAAAACCATCAAAAAAGCTGGGAAACAAAAAGAAAAAACAACAAAGTATGCAAAAAAAACAGTGACTCTGACATAAAAATCATAAAATGTTCAGACCTTTCTTGACTGGTTTCACTTTGAACCAACACAATGAACAAAAAAACACAGTAACACCAAGCAGCTCATAATCCGACTTGGGGCCCAAAACAAAATCCTCAGTGCGGCAACCAAGGCTTTGCTTGGGTATGATACCATTGGTCTTAAGACCGATAGAGATGAGACATCTACCATCACTACCATCAACAATAACTGGATGTTGATGACCATCAACAATGGATTTTGATGCGATGGGGATATCAATGGGATATATTATATTTGATATATTATTACCCTCTGGTAAATTAACATAGACCCTGGCAGTCGTCGGGCTTGGAAGACTTCCATTAAAAATTGGTGATTTTCAGGGTCCAACTGTTTATTTACCAGAGGGTATACCATATTTTTCATAGAATTGGATGATGGGAAAATTTACAGGAAACCCCTATATTTGATGGTAAAAACCATGGTTTCCTGTAGATTATATACATGTGTAAATACCCTCTGGTATCATCAAATGTGGCTGGAAAATCTCTGAACATCTCTGAATCGAAATGGTGGATTCTCCACTGCCACGTATTTGATTTTTTGGAGGGTACCCTCTGGTTATGACTAACATAGCTATGGAAAATCCCCAACATAAATGGAGGTTTTATTGGGAAAATCATCTGTAAATGGTCCATTTTCCATAGCTATGTTAAATTACCAGAGGGATTGGATCGTCTTGGAAAATCCACCAATCATCAAGATCCGCTAATAGCTTCCACGTATCCATCGTACATTATTTACTTACACGTATATAGATAGTACCCTAGAAAAAAATATAGTACCCCGCCCAAAAAAACAACACTCATGCAAGCACAATTTATCTGGACAAATCAGACTGATTCAACACTAACAGTTCGGCCATTTTGAGAATAGTTACTACCCAACCATCACTTGCGGTGAGGTGTTATGATTGAACCAGATTCATCATCTATTATACTATCAATGGTTGTGGATGAATCAGAAATTAGATCCATTCATTCATCAACAAATGCCCGAATTATCCAATGATTCTGATTCTGGGATAAGAATCATTGTTTGAAGATCTGGAGATGGGCAAAAACCCCTTACCTCCGGTGACCATCACAATCATATTTTTAAAAAAAACTGGTAAATGGATGTTCCTCCCCAGTCAGGTAATTTGCTAACTTGACCCATCCCCATCCAGGGCCATTCCGCCCCAGGCTCGTACTGGCTCACATCCTGTGCGGTCATTGGGGTGACATGCTGGTCGTTGATGGCGATAGTGCGGCCCGAAAAGGTGGCGGCGATCCATTTGTTCAGGTCCTGCGTCCGCAAACGCGGAGTTGCGGCGACGCGAAAACATGGGAAAACCTGGGAAAACCCATCTACCCTCTGGTAAACATACAAAAAACTATGGAAAATCACCATTTTTTATGGGAAAATCCACTATAAATGACCATTTTCAATAGCTTTTTGTATGTTTACCAGAGGGTAAATCGGGAAAAAAAAATAATTGAAAAATATGGGAACAACATTGAACTCGATGGAGATGTTCCAATGTTTGAGTGCCAAAGGATAGAGGTGGTGGTCACATCATGATCGCTTCCACCTGCAGGAAGCATTGCTTCGCAGTGAAATTTTCTACCAACAACTGGGCTTGATGTGGCCATAATGTTTGCTCCCATCCAGTCGGGGTTTTCCTATAATGACCCATGTCATTTGGTATTTATGTAGTATACCCATAAATCTCACCATTATCACTATTACAAGAGGATATGTATATATATATATATTATTATATTATATTGTCAAATGCTATTAATGTTACAACTTAACAGTCTATAACATATGCCCATGATATACCTCATAGATATATCCCATGGATATCCCAGGATTCCCATCAATATCATTATATTATTGGATATTGGTTATATTACAATATACCCATCAATCACATGAGATAATATCATGATATGTCCATTAGTGCTGCTTAATGATCCCCTGATATACAAAAAAAAATACTATTAAATACTGTTATATCAAATACCATTGTCAGCTTTTCTTGGTATCTACTATCATCATGTTGTTGGATATGGTTGGTTACCCATAAATATCCATAAATCACATGATATCATGATATGTTCCTATTCATAATCTATTCATATCACAGGAATCACAGCTCCACTTTTCGCCTTGTCAAAGTGCAGCAGCTGCGCCCTGTCGCCGTTCAGCTCCAGCGCTTGGACCCCCTCGCGCTGTGCCGAGGCCACCGGCTGCGCCGGCGCCGGCAGGCCGCTGATGGTCACCAGCGAGCCCGGGAAGTACGCCATGGCCGCAACGGCAACGCCACGCAAGCACCGGGGTTTGGGGATTTTAGGGATGGGAAACAGAGGATTTCTCTGGATTTATGATGATTTTATCTGGTTTTTATGTGGTTTTTATGTGGAAAACATGGGATGTTCTGAGGGTTTTTGGGAAGATTTCATGAATTTGATGTTTTGAAAAGCTGGGACTGCAATAGTTGAGAGTTGGACATTTTCTGAATCTTCAAGTGTGATGGACAAATCGGAGACTGTAGAAATGGGATGTCGGCCAAACAACTGAAGCTGGCAATGCTGGCAATTTCAAGGCGGAGTTCTTGTTCAACACATATTTCTTCATATTTCTTCAAACTGGGCTGGAAATAAACAAAGCCTGGACCTTAAGACTTGAAATTGTTCTTCCCCTCAAAAAGGGTTAGGGTGATTCCTAGCCAGGGTCCTTCCGCGAAGAACCCGCTCCGCCCCTAGTTGGTGAGCCAAGCAGCGAGAAAAACAGGATCAATGGACCCGCATTCAAAGGCTACAGACATCCCGCACCCAACGAGGAATCACCACACAAATCAAGATCAAATCCATCTCAAACAGCGAAAGCTATGAAAGTTGCATATTGGAAGTGATTGGAATCAAAACCAATTCAAGAGAAGACATCGGGGAGCGGATTCAGACAAGACAAAACAGCTCTTGGAAGGCATTGTTGAGTCATTTGGGGTGCCTTCCGAAAAGTCATGAGCAACGGTCCAATGGTCCAACAAAAATATGTTTTGGTAGGCTCAGTAGTGCCATCTATATACCCGGCCTGGTAAACATACAAAAAGCGACATGGAAAATGGCCCAGTTGAAATAGTGGATTTTCCCAGCTATAAAATGGTGGATCTTTCCATAGCTATGTTAAATTACCAGAGGGTACTTCAATTTTTAATTGCCAATCCATGATGGTGTATAAGTTTGACATATACAGTTTAACAATTTGTTTTGCCCAGAGAGATGTTCATGAAGTTAGATCTATTGCCTCTAGTATGGACAAGAAGAAATCCATAAATCCATTCACCTAACATGTAGTTTTAAGATTGGCCCTGCCGCCCCATGTCAAAAAATCATAAACTTAAATTGAGGATCATCATGTGAGCCGACTCCAAAAAAACAATAGGGGAACATTTACGGGATTATGCTACCCAACATGCAACGATTATCATCATCCATAAACTGGGACTGCCTACTAACCGAGGTAATCTGGTTGGTGGTTTTATATAACCATCATGAAAAAATATGAGTTCGTCAGTTGGGGTTACTATTCCCAATATATGGAAAGTCATAAAAATCCATGGTTTGAAACCACCAACCAGATAGGATTTTGACATTGCTGATCTCACGTATCTCTTGTAAAATCTGCCGGTCAAAACCTTGATCAAAATCAAACACCAAGTTATACACCCGGTAATAAATGATGATAAATAGGGTGACAAAGCGAAAATAACCCTATAAAACCCTAAAAAATCTGGTTGGTGGTTAACATACCCCTCTGAAAAATGATGGTTGGTGAGTTCGTCAGTTGGGGCATTTTCGAACAATATGATGGGAAAGTCATGTTCAAGCCATGTTCCAGTCAGCACCAACCAGAAATCCTGTGGTTTTGGATCCCCATTACAGGAGACTTCTTGAGGTCACCACTATGAGGTTTTTATAATGATGGTAGGAGCATCCCAAGCATGGCAGGTTTCCAGGTCCTACATGGTGAACATCAAAATATCTGGGATAAAGATGGATGTTCATCAGCCTATTTTTTTCGGTACTTGATCTATATCTCCATCTATCTCCATGGCTCGCTAAAATTCCATTTGAAAACCAACATTGGATACCCTCTGGTAAACTAACATAGCTATTGAAAATGGCCATTTACAGTTGATTTTCCCATTAAAAATGGTGATTTTCCATAGTTATGTTAAATTACCAGAGGATAACAATTACATACATTTTACCATGCAACAAACCCACCATGATGCAGGATGTTCAGATTTTCATCATTGACCCCACCTCTTTCATTACGCAGATCACGACGTCATGTCGAAAGTTCTGCACAAATCATGGACACTGGCCAGGCTGTACGCGGATTGCAGGATGGGTTTGTTGATGAGCATTGCAGCATGGAGGAACACAAGAGGTTGCACCATATCCCGTTTCAATGGATTGGTTTTCAGAGGTTTGGGAAACCAAGAACTGCAAACCATGGGTTTGTTCTCATCAAAAAAAGGGAAGGTTTCTTGCAGATTTTCCGAGAAAAACCGTTTCTGGGATGGTAAATGACACAGGCGGTCAAAGGGTGAAAATACACCTGCCTTGAAAAACCCACGCTATGTCAAACGGTGAGAAGTGCAGATCTGCAAAAGCAACATCCTTCACCCTTTGGCCCAAATGTCATCAATTTGGATTAATGGGATATTGGATCCATTTTAATTAATTTCTGTGCAACTTGACTATGAAATTCACAAGAATTGATTTCTAGCTTGTCGAACCGGGAAAAAAACAATCCTGCACGGCACAGTGTCACAACCCCAAAGCGGCTGGTCGCCCTTCTCCGATGGCAGGGACGTGCTGACGTCCCCAGGCATTGTTCAACGGAGCTCTTGTGCATCCCACTTAGGATCCGTGGTTTATAATCCATATCCCATATAAGCCCATACATTCCATCATCATAACTGGGGCCTACTGGGGCTATAAGACATTTACAATTCACATCCATTTACTAAGTGGGGCCACCAGCCAAAATTGCTAAGGACCCGCGCCGGGGGGGACACGCGCCTAACCCCGCATCAGTTCCACATTCTTAACCCCGCACAGCGTTAGTCTCCGCGTGGCAGGACCGGGGCGGCGGAGACCACCCCGCAGGGCCTGCAGGGCCTGCAGGGCCTGCAGTGCTGGGGGCGCCTCAGGCGTTTCGGGGATGTCTGGTGGAGAATGGCCAAAGGTGGGCGGCTGATAGACCGCGGCGGCCGTGAAGCGTGGCTCCTCGGCTGCAGACTTGTGGTTGGAGTCCGATCAAGAAGGCTATGGGGAATGAAAAAGAGTGAGCAAGTGCAAATTCTCGGTTTGCTGGCAACAGATCGTAGCATAATATAAAATATACCTCTTAAGCTTTGCGGATGGAACTTAAGACTTAAGTGCAGCACTGGGCCAGATAGCCAAAAGACATTGGTATATCATCAACAATGATGGATATACAACCAAAATCAATGTGGTGAAACAATATAGTGGAGTGATTGTGAACTAAATCTCAAGCCATTCGCTTCCAAGAAAAGGACTTTACATCTGCTTGATCGGGCACAGCGACCATTGATTTCTGGGGGCAATTAAAACTAATGGCCACCTTAAAAGACTGTATATTCCACTTGATTCACTGGATCTCCCATCTCTGATGTACTAGCGATTGCTGTTGGCACACGTCACCATTGAATTTCCTTGGTTGTTTATTCAAGCACTTCCAACCTTGCTTGAACTGTGTTGAACTCCACTTCCTCCAAGGGTTGAATTCAGGGTCGTTCATACAGTTTCCCGTGAGAACCATCAAGTATGTTGAAGCGAGGCATGCAATGACTATGGTTTGCCCAGATGCAAACAAGCGGTCGGAGGGGTACAGCATCCACAGTTGCTGACGGTCTCTTGTGCCATGCATGCACGGTAGGCGTTTTCTTTTAATCCTCAAAAAAACATGGACAAAAATAGGGCAAGACCTAGTTTTTCATCATCAACCCCAGCTTAGGGGGTCCCCGCATTGTTGCTTCTCCGAGTATGTCCTCAAAATAACTATTGACTTATTTGTTAACCATGGGAAACTGGGACTCAACCAAAAACTGGGATTATTGTTGCTTTTCCCCAGTGTGGGAATTTGGCATTTTGCCTCAATTCCCTACTATGTTGCGGAAATTTCTGTATTGTTTGCTTCAAATCGCTTAAATGACTTCGCCAAACTGCCAGCCATGTTCCGCTCCAGACTTGGGCATAATTGGGTCCCCCAACAATTAGATGGTTAACCAATATACTAAACATATACTAAAATCATCTCAAATCTGCGGTCCCTTCTGGGGCTTCAATTTTGACCCAGTCCTTCGACCGTCTTGAAACTTTTGGCGGCGCTGGAAGTGCCAACGGAGCCTACGCGTGGCTATGGAGATTTCGACATCCCCATTTCCAGACACCATGACACACCCATAATTTTTAATGTACAAAAATGAAGGGGTTTAATATGGTTTGACATGGTTTGACCCCAAAAATGGGGACAATCAAGTAACCAAAACTAAACAATGACTTAATGGATTTTACATCTGACTAGTGAACATCGTGAACATGTTTTTTTTGACTAGTGACTAACATGATCATCCAATAATTCTTGCATTACTTTTTATAGCACCTGGAGCAGGTTCATTGGTGTACAATGTGTGGGTCAAAGTTTGAGACAATGAATTCCCATTGCACATGTGACATGGACGTGGGTCAAAGAATGGGATTCATTGGATGTCTACGTCAAATACATACCTGGTTGGTGGTTTTAACCATCTTGAAAAATATTAGTCAATGGGACAGATGACATCCCATATATAGTGGAAAATAAAATTCATGTTCCAAACCACCAACCAGATACATACATCATTTTTGTCTCAAATTTGTTTGTGTAAAAATACAGGCCTTCCATGCTCTTCCGTGACTTGGCCCCTTCGTGATACCACAGAGGCCCCAGTATCTTTCTGGGATCATCCGTCGGAGACAGCCATCCTCAAACACGTTGGATGACGTCGAAAAGCATCACATTGGGATCATCCCAACTAAGATCTTGATACATTGGGATACAGGACAGTGTGATCTTATATTTTACAATCCCATAGTTCATATGTATCATACAGTGACAAACTATGGGATCTTATATATAAACTAACGTATCATACAGTTGTATATTTGATATGGACACTGTGATTCTTATACAGCCGGACTAATCAATGCCAATATACCGGACAGGGATGAGAAAATATGGGATTTGACGTTTCCATCCACCAGACTCTGCAAAATCTGGAGGTTTCCATCCAATGAGGGTACCCCAGAATCATCCAAGTCATGGATGACCATCTTAAGTCATTGAAACAACCATGGTTAGACTTGGGGATCCCCCATGACTTAAGAACCCCCGGATGCCGTTCCCGCCTCGTTTCGGCGTTTCTGTCCCCTGCGGTCCGGTGTCCGTGAACGTCTGCCTGTCGTTCAGTGAGGAACCAACAAAAACCTCTGGGAATGGTGATTGATCCAGCAGTGGTGGTGAGAATCATGGGATTTTACAGGTTTTGAACCATCAAAAATTGTGATTTTACCTCGATAGTGTAACATAGCTATAGCTAGATTGAAAATGGTCCATGTATTAATGATTTACCGAACTTAAAGATGGTGATGTTCTGTAGCTGTTTCAAATTATCAGAGGGTACCAAAGATGTTCTTCAGGTATGGGGTCTTAGGAGACGGCTGTGGTTGACTCTACTTCACAAGCAGCTTGGGTTCCAATGGAATCCCATCTCGAAACAAATCACCTTTGGAGTGATCTTTGGACCTAAGCGTGCATACATGTCAACAACAAGTTTCACCATACTACCAATAAATCATCAATCATGTGGAAATGTAATTTTTATCATACAAGTCATTGATACAAACACCCTCGCTCTGTCACACTTGGGCATAGAAAATTGGATTTGCTGAGTCTAGATTCGCAGAAGCCCCAAAGAAACATCAAGTACATGCAACAAGTGCTTTAATTCATGTTATTTCCTGTGTTTGTGCTTACTTGGCAGTGTGTCAAAACCTTGTACCCCTGGTGAACATCAAAATAGCTGGTAAATGGATGTTCATTCCCCTAAAAATGGTATTAATAGGTATTGATCCATACCCACTTAATCTCATTTATTGGGCTGGACCATTACATGCCAACATCGACCGCGGCCTGGTGGTCCTGGTGGTCCTGGTGGGCCTGGTGGGCCTGGTGCCGTGTGCGCATCGCCCTCATCCGGCAAAGGAGTCCTCTGAAAGCTGAGGGTGTGGTTAACTATGGTCTATGGTGTCAATAGTTAGGTTTTAAGAGTCAAATGTCAACAGTTTGGTTTCAACAGTTAGCTTTCAATAGTTAGGTGTCAACAGTTAGGTTTCAATAGTTGGGTTTCAAGAGTTAGGTTCCAATAGTCAGGTTAGTGAAGATGTAATAGGGGTCTATTAGTTGTTCCAATGCCTTTACTTTTTAGGTAACCACAGAATAATTCAATACCACCCACACAAGAATGATTTCAATAGTTAGGTGATATAATTATGTTTAACTGTGCTTTGTAGATTCGATATATCAAGAGCTACTGGGGTTCAAGCACAAACAACATTTTTTTAGGATATAATTTTCATCACAGTGGTGTAATACTAATCCATCTTAATCCACATTAACTGGATAATAATCTATATTAATCCATAAAATCCATAGTTAATCCAAAATAATGAGATATATTCGGTTTTCACCAACGAATAATAATATTGGTGTTTTTTTGGCAAACTTGGAGTTAGTAAGGATTTATGGGGAAACAATGCGATACAACACATAATGGTGGTTTAATATGGTTTAATATGGATCATTTTACAATCCCATAGTTTATCACGATTATGATCCTATTATAGTTCTATTCAAAATTGAGAATGATGGTTTAATATGGTTTGTCATGGGATATTATTTGCAGATATAAAGCAACTGAATGAAATAATATGAAGTAATAGGGAGACTGAAAAAAAACCTGTTTAGTCCATGTTGAACCGAAAAAGACTAGGATTCAAAAGAATTCCTATATTGTGGGGGTTGCTAGTTCCATGGGGATCCCCAAAAAAATATTGGGTTGAACCCTACTTGGATGATTCGCCCGAATCATAGGAACCCCTCTGGAGGTCTATGAAAGGAACAACCATCGAACTACCAGGTAACTGGTGGTTACGAAAAAAACCAAACCATGTTTCATTGCCAGAAAATATTTCATGGGGATGTGATATCGTTGTTTCTTTTTGAAATGACATGTCCATGATAAATTGGCAACATGGTCGAAATAGGTTCAACTATGTTATCTACTAAATTTTGTCATGCTTGAACAAACAATGGAAATAAAACCTGAATCATCTGGTTGATGGTTGAATCACCGAAAAAAACATGGGAATTTAACGATGACATGGATATGGATCAACAACTAATCAATCAAATCTGCTCATTCAGAGCATTTGAATCCTTTGGGGACGCATTCATCCGATGTGCTGGGTGCAAAGGGGAAAAAACGGCAACCAAACCATGTGCACTTTGAGGCATCAACTACACGGGCATGGTTCAAAATTCAAGTGCCAAACAAACCGGACTGTTCAAGTCATGCTGACATGATTCTGGGATATTCTGGGCATGTCACATCATGTCCCATACCCCACCAATAAAATGTCCCAAAACAACATAGAATACTTATACTTATATTCAAACCTGCGCGAGTGAACTCCTAAGGATTTGTACCCCAAGTGCTGTCCTTGGTGAATTCCTATCAAAATTAACTGGTTGGTGGTATACCTACCCTTCTAAAAAATATTTGTCAGTTGGGGGGTATGATTCCCAATATATGGAAAAATAACAACTGTTCCAAACCACCAACTAGTTAACACTCATCAAGCCACAGATTATCACCGCCCAGCCTGCTAGCCGCACCCCGCAGGATGATATCAGCATGGGCCGATGCACCAATGCTGACCTACCGGTCAGCCCCATATCTGCCCGTCTTTCTGCAAGATACACGACCATGAATAACTGAAAAAAAAACATGGAATCAAAAAAGGATGGAGAGCCTAAAGCGGTAGAAATATAAAGTCGAGGTTAGTTTGATAGAGACAAACTTACATGACAATAACTTTCATTTAGAAGAATTGGAAAAGTAAAAGGTTTAATTAAAAAATGGATGGAACTAGGTCTGATTGAGATGGGTGTGAGGGCAATGGATTTGATGGGGAGAGGCTTGAAGGCGACAACATTTGATACAGACAATTTGTAGGGGTGGCTTTGATAATCTGATAGAGAGAAGATGAATTCCAGCATGCTACCTTACTCTAGGTCACTCAAATCCAATATTGCAAGGGTTGAAAAAAACCTAATTGAAGTACTTATTCTCTATGCCTTGCGCCGACGATTCAACAAAATGCTCTCTAAAGACAAGTTCATTGCACCCCCAGTGATCACATTTTTTCGGCTGGTAAACCACCAGTTCGTGAACCCGTCCAGCCAAATCAGGATGAGGCATGTAAGTAAAGGAAACCAAACCAGAAATATGTATTGATTATTCTATGAAACAATGTAGTGGGTTCATTAGCATTACATCACCAAATGCAGGGTTTTTTCGGGCTTACAGAAAACAGGGCCTTGAGTTGCTTCGCGATGTTCACAAAGGTTCTCAACTGCAGGGTCCCTGCCCAGCCTGTCTTGCGATTGCAGGATGCAAATGGGTGCAACTATCGCTGCAGATCCAAAAATCATGAATTTTCTAGGCAGTCAGCCAGTGATTGGTGTACTGACAGGGCTATAGTAGGCCAAAAGAATAGAAGAGTAACAGTCATTTATCACGAGTTCGATAGATCTATAACATTCACTGGTATACAATTATAAAAGTACTATTTATCAATGTTCAGTACTATTTATTGAAGTCTATAACATGGTATAACCCCCATTCACCAGTTCGATAGATCTACCATAAATGATCCTGAGAGTTTCATGGGCAGTCAGCCACCGGAAACATCATCTGGTTGGTGGTGCAATAACCACATGGTTAATATATGGTCAATATATGGTTATTATATGGTTAATGATGGTTAATAATAATCTGATTGGTGGTTCTCACCATCTTGAAAAATATGAGTTCGTCAATGGGAAGGATGACAACCCATTATGGAAAAATAAAACATGTTTGAAACCACCAGTCATCAAACCAGAAACAGCTGGGTAACTTCCACTTGTGGCCGAATTGAGAACTGCAGATTCAAGAAAATCGTTTTGACTCTGAACTAACAACCATGATGTCCTTGTGGTTGAAATAGACGGCTCAGTTTGGCATACCAGGCATGCCATTTGCCATCATTTTCTTATAGGATCTTTTTTTCGGCTGTTCAGGAGGTATCCCTCAAATAACAAAAGGGCACAGGACATCTTTTTGAGATGTCCATGTGCCCCAAGGATCAATCCCCAACGGTTCTCATCTTTGATTCTGAAGGATGAATCCCACACATTGGGTCTGAAAAATCATGGAGTTTTGTTGGATCTGGCCATGTTTGGCTTCCACGTGCAAAACTATAGATGTTTATCGAATTAAACCCAATTATATATATATATATCATACAATATCTATATAGTATATATATATATTTCTAGTGGGGCTTCGCTTTTCTAGCTTTTTGGGGATTACTACAATTCACTCGCAATTTCGGTGAAATCCCACTTCTTTATCGCGCCTCGACTAGGCAACACAACGGAGGCCTCAGCACATAAGGTTCGTTGGTGGTGTCCCATAATTAGCGAATGTAACAAAAAACTGAGATGGCTATTTAACGACAGAAAGCTTATGGCATATTTACCTAATATTTATGGAATAATAATAGCCTTAGGTTGAAACAACTACTCTCTGGTTATTTAACCATGGAAAAACACCATTTTTAACAGGTAAATCATCATGAATCATCCATTTTGATGGGCCATTGTCCATAGCTATGTTAAATAACCAGAGGGTATATTAACAAATCCATACTTTTAAAGGTAGATTTGTCAATCGATGGGCATCAAAAAGCATCGGATTTCACCACTGCTGTTCTGGTATTTGCCACAGATTGCGCAGATCTATCCAATCATAGGTCTATGATCACCATCTGGTTGGTGGTTCTAACCATCTTGAAAACTATGAGTCAATGGGAAGGATGGCATCCCATCTATTATGGAAAATAAAAAATGATTGAAACCACCAACCAGCCATAGATATTTCATAATATTTCATAACATGGTTGTCTGTCAAAATGCTACCAGTACCAAACTACTGCAGCATGCATTGCAGGGTGGTTAGGAACAATCGCATGAACAGACTACCCCGAAGCGATGAAGAGGCACATACTACTTTACTTTGGTACAACTATCCAAGGTAACATGTTTGGGAACCTCGATCTCCACTGCATCGTTTGTTCTTACCCTACTATTCTCAATTCTCATCCATTATACTAGTGTCCGTCCCAAAATCTGCTCGTCAATGGATGTAATGCGATAAACAATGCCACAAACCTACCATTTAGGGGTGATATTCCATAACCCGTTTATGGTAATATTGGGGATGGCTTACTATTGGGTTTACCACATTCCATAGGATGGAAAACAGAACATATTCCAAACCAACCAGCTGCATACGTCATTGTTTGCTAATGAAACTTCCCAACCTGTGGACGCAGCTAGGGTTGTGTCTAATTTTCAGAAACCACAGCGACATCCCATGGTTTATCATCACTTACCATGAATCCAATGCAGAAAGCCTCAAGAACTGCTCGGCGCCCCGGGGATCCCCAGGGGCCCCAACCAGGTTGGGCAAACAGCCCAGCATGTATTGGAACTCCTCTTTGCTGATTGATGCCATTTCCCTCAGCAAAAATGGTGCAAATCCAGGGCATCTTGCATCCCTCATGCGCCACAACATACCCATATGCTTTGCTTAAAAACTACACAGTAATCAAAAAAGCACCATGTCAGTTTCACTCCTATCCACACACACACATATATGTATATATATATATGTGTATATACATACACATTAAATACGTACATATGTATCTATATATATATATATATCCACCAAAAACAA